ATTCAAAAGTTATAGAGAGGTGTCTTGAGGCTGAAAAGGTTGAGAACCGCTGCTCTAACCATAGCCAACTAATGGAAGATGCAAATATTTCTACCTGACAGATCAGACTTTCATTGTTCAAATTCTCTTACATAAATCTTTGTTAAAGTCTTCTAATCTTGGCCCTTCTAAAAGTGTTCTGTGTCCCACAAACTTGCATGCTAAATGTCACCAACTAAAAATGCTAATTTTTGGTTCACGTGTACCAAAAAACACACGCACAAATCAAGACGGACTTGTTAAGGTGCTGCATTACAAATAGAAATATAACCTCAATGCAACCCTTGCAAAAATGCCACCTATTTAAATGAGATTTTTCTGCATAAAATGCATGAAACTAATCTATGTTAATCTTATGATCAGCAGGGATCTGGGTTTTCTGTTTCCCATGGAAAAACAGAGAAAACCACGGATTTCTCATTTTTAATCAGACAAAGGCAGATTTTCCCTTTTAGAAGATAAACCCATGGACTGCCCCCTTTTGCAAAGAGCTCAGCAGGTTGGGGGAGTTCCAGTCTAAGAGCTGTTTGCAAGGGGAGCAGGGAAACCCTTAACCCTGCCCTGAGGGGAAGCGCAGGGCCTGACCCCACGCTTGCACTTACTGGAGGCTGCTGCAGGCTCACTTTTCTTGCTGGAGATAAGTGGGGCTTGGGGGTGGCACAGCAGGGCTGGTGGGGAGCTAGTTGGGGGCTGAGGAAGAGGGGTTTGCAGCCGGCCAGGCACTCCGGCTGGGTCGGGGTTTGCAGCCTCCCCACTCCCAGCTGGGATGGCCAGGCTGGCTGGGGGCTGATGAGCAGGCAGGTTTGCAGCCAGCTGAGCACTCTGGCTGGGATGGGGAGGTGGGGGTTGCAGCTTTCCCTACTTCCTCAGCCCCCAGCCAGCTTGGGCACTCTCTGGCTAGGAGCAGGGGGGGTTTGCAGCGAGCCAGGCACTCAGGCTGGGAGACTGCAAACCTCCCGTCCCCCAGCTGGAGTGTCCAGCCAGCTGCAAGCCCTGGGTCACAAATGCTGTGCTTGCCCCTCTGCCCTCCCTCAGGCCCCCGGAACGCAGCATGTGCGATTGGTGCGGCAGGGCACAGTGGGGCCACGCATGAAAGCTGCCTGCAGCTGCAAGCTCCTGCTGCCGTGGCCACACTTCCTCTGTGTGCATGGGGGCAGTGCAGGGTTGTGCCCCTCACTGCTGCCCCTGCCTGCAGAGGAGGCATGGCCAGGACAGTGTGAAGCGCAGCAGCAGGGAGCTTTTGGGCACGTCCCCCATGTGCTGCCTCACTAGGTTGCACACATTGCATTCTGGAAGGCCTGGGGGAGGGCAGCAGGGTGGGAAGCACAAGCCTGCAGCGCACACCCACCCTTCCCCCATCCCCCACACAGATCGGGGTGGGGGGTACAGGTCCCCCGTCCCCCAGGCGTGCATGCTGCCACTGGGAGCTGGCCCTGCCCAATCCTGCAGCAGGCAGACAGCGGGGGGGAGCTGGTTTGTGCTCCTGCTGTAGCAGCTGCTGCTTTCCACTGGGAACAGGGGGCTGCATACCTGGGTCTCTGGCCCCTTCCAGCAGGGCTGGGGGGCAAGGGGCACAAGCAGGGCTGTTGGGGGGGGGAGGG